AAAATATATCACGGAATCTCTGACGCAGCGTCTCGCGTGCCAAGTGAAAATCAAATAAGGAAGCAGCACGATTCAAAACCGTTTGTAGCCCATTGATAGCACCATACGAACTATAGTTTGTACGACGAAAAGTTATCCTCAGCATTGCGTTGTTACGGAGTGCTCGTGGACCATCGATTCTGCCCTGTAGAATGTCTGCCACAAACAGGGCCCTTGTCGTATCTCTTCGACTCCACATAGGATCCAGGTGAATTAACTGGCAACGACTTTCGTAGCTTGGAAGGCGATGAGGATTCAAACAGTAGATGTCCGTGAAACTTTTAGCTATCCTGAAAATGAAGCCGAGCGTTCTGGATGCCTTGTCGATCACGTACGAGATATGCTGGTTGTATGTGAGTTGACAGTTTAAGATGACTCCCAGATCCTTAATGTGATTCACACGATGTACGTCAACGCATTCTAGGATATAACTGAATGTAATTGGATGTTTCTGTAGTATCTACCCTTGGGCTTTAATGAATCGCTACGAATTTTACAACCGTTTACAAAAACCTAATGAGTCAGCTGAGAATGTTGTGCTCGCGGTTAAACTTCGTGCAGAAAATTGTAACTTTCGGGAATTTAAGGACGAAGCTATTCGTGATCGTTTAATTATTGGCATGCGTGGTAAAGAATTGAGGAAAAAATTACTTATGGATGATGATGTAAAATTAGAGACGGTGGAGAAAACAATCATCAGCAGTGAAAAGGCAGAAAGTAGGGCTGAACACATGGATGATTTTGATGAGTCGAGCAAGGTTCTATCAGTTAGGCAGCGATTAAGCAGAAGACCCAACGATTATGATCGTAGGAGAGATAGTGACAGACCTCGCAATCGCAGCTGGAGTCGTGATCGCAGTAGGAGCAATGAACGTAGTAGGAGTTACGATCGTAATAGACATCGTGATCGTGAGTGGGCTAGGGATTACCGCCAAGATTATCATGAGAATCGAGTCAAGAACATTCACACTAGTGCAGTGTGTAATTACTGTAAACGTAAGGGACATATCCGCAAAAATTGCTACTTTCTGCAGAACAACAACCGGGGAAAAGCCGTTAATTTCGCAGAGAAAGAGGAGATAGTAGAAACTTCAGTTACTGATAAATTTAACAGAATTCGTGTTAACGAATCCAGTGAAGAAGATTCTGAAATCAGTTGCATGATGATTGGTCGCATAAACAGAGTATCAGAGGCATGTTTAGTCGATGTTGGGCATTAAACTATCTATGGAAGTAGATACTGGTTCAGCAGTTGCGGTTATCAGCGAAATCCAGTACCTACCAGCAAGCTTTTTCTGCGATTCCGGTTTCTAAATGAGACAAAACGCTCGTTGTAGTTAATGGTTCGAAAATCGCTGTAGTTGGAGAAATTTTAGTTGAAGTCGTTTTGAATGGACTTAGCACTGAAAGGAAACTGATTGTTCTAAAAACATCTAGGGATTTTACACCACTTTTGGGTAGAGATTGGATGAAGGTGTTCTACTCTAACTGGAAGGACCAATTCATGCAACCTTCAGTAAACAGTTTGAATATTATAAGGTGTTCAATAAAGACTTTACAGAGCCAATTATAGGTTTTGAAGCGGAGCTACCTTTGAAATCAGAACAACCGATTTTCAGAAAAGCGTATCAAGTGCCATTCAAAATTAAGGATAAGTTTATGGAACATTTGAACATGCTGGAGAATCAGGGGGTCCCATTCAGGCAAGTGAATGGGCTTCTCCGGTCATAGCTGTAATGAAAAAGGATGGAGAAGTTAGAATGATTCTGATCGGTAAGCACAAGACGAACGCGCACAGACAACAGTTGAAGACTGCGAATCCAAGCGAAACAGAGCTGTGGTACGCCTTCCAGCCAGCACAACGAACAAGCGTAAGAGGGATTCGATCGAAGATGAAGAAGATTTCCTACGCATTCTCGGAGCTCCCGAGACCAGAAGACATACACGAGAGCAAGAAGGTCAGACGAGCTAGAAGTCCCATCTGCACCCGGACGAGAACTGTGCAAACTCAGCTAGGCAAGACAAGGTTGAGGCTGCATCTTCAACGAGTTGAATTCGATGTGTTAAAATGAATTGAATTATTGAATTGTTCGTGTTTACTTACAACACAGCTAAGCAAGAACATGCTGGAGCTGAATCATCAACGGGATTGAATTCGAAGTTTTTTGAATTATTGAATTCTTCGTGTTTATTTACGTAATTTGGAATTTAGACTTTTGTTTTTTTCTTAAGAAGGGAGAACTGTAGTATCTACCCTGTTCAGAGTAATTAATGATTTAGAGTGTAATCAATCAAGATACAAAAAGAGACTCGAGATGAGAGTCCAGAATAAAGAGCTAGGGCAGTCTAGAATGAGCCGTTGGAAGAGACGGAGTCGAATTTAATCTACATCGTTAAGCTTTTATTTAATTTAAGAAGAAAGATTGATTAACACTAGTTAAACCTTAATAATTAAACAAAACACATAGTAGTGATCAAATACCGTTCATAACAGTTTCTTCCGTGAGAACGTGATTACTGAAGATTTTGTTTGATTTACAACCATGCGGTTCAGTTGGCACCAATTAGCAAACGCGTTGAGTTGGAGTTGGAGAAGGTGGCAGTCAGCGATGGCTCAGATTCGGAGATAGATTTTCATGTCTTCTGCGAACGACAGTCGTGGGTCGTCGAGGACGAAATTTACGTCGTTGAAATACACAAGAAATATCAACGGGTTGAGGTGGCTACCTTGCGGAATACCCGAAGTGGCAGGGAGCGAAGGAGATCGGCAGTCGTCGATTGCAACTTCCAACTGACGATCAGATAGATAGAATGCGAACCATCGTAGGAGACTGCCATTTATACCGAGCCTATCCAGTTGGTCTTCGCTCAAGTGCTGCTTGAAGTGAGAGACTAATGGTTCTGTTACAAACGCGCTAACGGGGTGGCCGTGTACATCATGTACAATAAAATGAACGCGAACGTAAACTAGTAAAAAAACTTTATTAAAAATGACGAACTCTAAAGTATACATTGACTACCGGGAAGCGCACACGATACAAGATGACGGACTCGAACATATATATTGTCTTGTTCTTCTTTCTTATGCTGGTTCGCGCATCTACGGGTGACAGCTTAGCTGCTACCAGTGAGCTCAGCAGTATTGGTGTTGGTAGCGATCGTTGGGGATGTCCATGTTCCCAACATCTCCCCTCTTAATACAGCTGGTACGGATCGAACCTAATCGCCGGTCTTCGTAGACATGAAGAGCGGCGAGGTACCTGGACAGCTGTTTCGGTTTCTACTGATCTAAGTGGTACTGGGCTTGTTGTAGAGGACAATGGGACTATGGACGTAATTCCAAACATGACTTCCGACGGACATCTGCTTTGTGGTGCTGATAGGTTGGGTGTGGTTCGACAGGTCAACAGAAACGTGTCCAGTGCTTCCTGAACTCCGTCAGGTCCAGGCTTAAATGAAGACTTCAGTTGCGAAGCCGCACTAGTTATCATAGCGAGGTCGATGTTGATAGCTGCCAAAGATTGACCAGACATTGGAACATTACTGGCTGTTAGAGAAACGTGCTCGTCAGGTAGGTTCTCATCCGAGAATACACTCGCAAACTTGGTTGAGAACAGACGGCAAATGTTCTTCGCCGTTCAGTACCATAGTCGATGGAAGGACAGACTCCTTTCGTTGCTCATTCACATAATTCCAAAAAAGTTTTCAGGTGAGCTTCCCTTGAACATCTCGTTGATAACGCCGATAACATTTGCAAGTGGTTCGTTGATACGCATGATTGATCCTCGCATAATGGTCCTTGAGTTGTAGGCTGTGGTACTTGGTGTATTTTCTTGACGCGGCTCTTTTGGAAGACTTTAACATACGGAATTCACTTGTTTGCCAAGAATGATGATTACCTTGTTTAGGAACTTTTTTCGGAACATGTCGCTCAATGACGTATGCCAAAATATGCGAGAGCGTTTGGGCAGCTGCATTGACATCGGCAGGGACGAGTATCCTGTGCCAGTCCAAATTCGAAAGAAGTTCCCCGATGCTGTCGTGGTCAGCATTTCAGAAATCGTAGGAAACTTCTAGGGGGTGGGTGTAATGACCTCAGGAATTTGGTTGCCTTCAAGTGCAATAACTAAAGGAGGCTGGTGTGGAACAGTGTTTATCAACGGAGAAACAGTCATAGACAAATGCAGAGCAGCAGTGGCGTTTCCTTAACCTCAATCTACCTGTGCACCAACTCTCAAAACATAAACAATTATCAAAATATTACTTGCAATGGATAGATATCGAATTAACTAGAAGATTAAGTGTATTTTTCAACCGATTCGAGTATGAATATGGCATTAAATCTGGTTTAGATAGTTGGTGCACAGGTAAAAAGTGAGGTTACGGGACGGGAGCAGTATCCTGAGCGGTGACGAAGCAAAGGTCTAAGCTACGATTGTTCTCATTAACCACATGGCTGATTTGATTCAGAGTGGCGATACTGTAATGATCCAAAAGGCTTACAGCTCCAGAGTGAAATATAGAACGGTCGTGGTCCGGATACAGGAATCCACCGTAAGATGATCGCCAAGAAATTGCCGGTAGATTGAAGTCACCAGCTCGAATAGACTGACTGTGGGATTCAATCAGCTTTGCAACCTAGACCATGGATTTCGTTCCAAAAACACGAACATGTCAAAGATTGGGCTTTCTTCCACTTCACGCTTCTTTGGGGGTCAGACCCATGGCCACGGGTAGGCGATCGGTTAATCAAATAAACGGCTGAAGACAGCCTCTCCCCAGAAACCCGATAGGTTGCATTCGAATAAGAGACACCGTGCTGTCCGATTGGTGTGCTCGGCCAATCCGTTTTGCTCGGGAGTGTACTAGTTGGTAGTCTCGTCGGGAAGAGCTTACCATGTCTCAACCGTCATTAACGAACAACATTCTAATTTATTATTCTTTCTTTTTTTTTGTTTCAGGTCACCCAGAACCAAATCCAACAGCAAGCCTCCGTCGGCATTGACATGCCCATGCTCGATCAAGGTGAAGACCACCATCAACAGCAAGCAGGTCAATCCCAGCTCAAGCAGGAACCGCTGAACATGCCTGTCAGTATGCCGAGCCTGGACGATGACGGTGAGCAGTCCCAGAACAGCCAGACTTCCAACGCCGAAGGAGGCACCATGGAGCTGGAAGGCATGCAAGATTCCGACGGTCAGCAAATCAAGTTTATTCTCAACGAAAACGGACAGATACTGCAGCTGGATAATCACATCCTGACTACCGATGCGGATGGAAACCAGATTCTGGTGCAGGGAACGGATAGTGAACAGATTCAGCAGTTGCTCCAAAGCGTGGGTGTGGTAATGCAAGGCGGTGAAGGTTTGGGTGAAGGAGAAACATTACAAATGATCAGTGGCGATGGGCAGACGGGACAAATGATTCTGGTGCAGGGAGCTGATGGGCAGGAACAGTTGATCGACGCTTCGTTGTTGAACGCCGACGGAAACATCGTAATCCAGCAATCTCAAGAGGGTGAACTGAATGCCGAAGGTACGCACATAACAACGCAAGATGGCCGGCAGATTCCGGTGTCAGTGGCGTTTACAACCTCTGGGGAAGTAGACCATGAAGGCAATCTGACGGTTTCTATGGCCGGCGGTGATGGCGGTGATCAGCAGATACAGTTGCACCTTCAACAGCACGAAGGCGATGGCGAAGAACAACAACATATCGAAGACGGCGAAGGGCAGCAGGGTATCCTAACCGAAAGTGGTCACATAATACTTCACGCTCAGGATCAAGTCGGTGAGCAGCAACAGAAGCAGGACGGCTCGGATGAAAGCAGTCAACATGCGGCGGCTAATGCAGCGGGAAGTGCCACCACTGGCAGTGGATCGGCGACTGGCAATGGAGCCAGTGCAGGAACAACGAGCACCGGGGTCGACGAGCAAGGACTGTTCAACTTTGACGAACTCATTCAGCCACAGGTGGTAATCAAGCAACAGGTAAGGCGAGATTGATCCTAAGACCAAAACTTATATCGAGACCAACGCAAGTACATGTTTATGTTTGTTTTGGTTTTGTTGTGTAAAAAGAATGGAACTAAGTTGAGGAATGTAAACTCAGAGCACCTTCATTAGTTTTCCCCGCTCTCCTTTTTTATTCCTTTGATCACTAATTTAAACTTGTAGTAACTGCTACCCTGTAGATGATTACGTTTAACCCAGCATAATACAGTAAGAGAATTCGATCCACAAATTCAAGAACACACATGCACTATATTTTCACACAACCACACACGCTCACTTTCCTGTATGCGCATTGTTGCGAGAGGAGATCCTTATTATAATGAAGCTCTGCGACACGTTAATAAAAAATATAGTTTTCGATTAGGCTTAAACAATAACAAACAAACAAAAGCAACAAAAAACACACAGAGAGGAAAAATACAAAATAATAATTATTAATTTTATTAATAATATGATTAGGAAGCAACTAGATTTTTAGGGTACTGATTGATGATGCGTCAGCAAATACAAATAAACATCTGCAGAGAGATGAAAAGAACGAAAGAGTCACGATTGAATTTGGTGTAATATTTGAAATGTTTTCTCCAATAAAGATTTCAAAAACTACACCACAAAGTGTCCTGTATTTACTAATATTGCACGTTGCGGATACGTCGACGGTACAGCTGCGAGGCGAGCGAATTCTAGTTGAGGGGGATAATTTTTTTTTCGTTTTGGAGTATCGCTAAGTACCTTAACTTCGATGACAGTTCTTAATATTGGGACCATGTCCTAACGCCTCTTGCTTTTTGTAGGACTAACAGCCATTTTAGCAGGGAATCTTCATTTGGTCACCACTACTTTGTAATCTTAAGCACCACAACATCTGACTTATGCATGCATTTTTCCCTATTTTGCACAACCGTTCTCTTTTCAATTCGATCAATAATCCCCATAAAGTGTCATAATTGTAAAATCATTATAAATTGTATATAGTTTGAATGAAATTAGTGGAAAATGTAGATAGGGCAAAAAGCGCAGAATTATGGCACTTTACGATACTATCCGTGTTACTTTTTGTGTTACCAAACACGCTCGAAGGTATCCAGACCAGGGCCCCACAAAGTCACTTTCAATCGAAAAATCGTCAAGTGACGATGAAGCTGTTAATCATCACTTTCAATTGAAAACCATTCTGTCTCCTCTTCGAGCAGATCCCCGTCAACATCAACTGAACCACTTTCGATCAGTTTTCATGCTGTTTGTTTTGGCTTGACGTGTTCATTTCTTTTTTCATTGCCAAATGAACTTACTTTTGCATTGAAGCGAAGCTGGTCGATCCAAATTCGCGCAGTTTTTATGACTTTTGTTGATTGTTCACTCGGTTCATTTAAGCGTATGCGCATAGATCTGTGCACGTTTACCCATCAATATGGGTATTTATTTTTTTAAACGCACAGCAAAAAAATAATTTTAATATCACATAAAAGTGGATGCACTTCAATCGTGTCGAAAATATGGTGTAATATAACTTGCCAAAGGACAAAATTATCATTAATACAGTGTATGAACTGACATTACGCTGCTTTTACTGCATTTGTTTATTTTTGAGGCAAGACAAATTACATGTGATATTCGACATGATTGAAGTGCATCCTCTTGGATGTAATATTATAATATTATTTTTCTGCTGTGTCGTTTATAGATCGAAAATTGATTAGCGACACCATTTTGAAATCCAAGATAGTGGCTTCCAGTTTAAAGATAAGTGGGCAATACTGTCAAATACCTATCTATAAAGGTATTTTTGGAATCGGGATGATGTCTAGAGGATGAAAGTCTATATCCGACGCCATTTTGAAATCGAAGATGGCGGCTTCCGACTGAAGAAAAAGTGGAAGTATACCGTGCCGATTCAAATTTCGGACACTTAAACTCGAATTTCGGACACTTTTAAAAGTTGATCTCGGTCGAATATGATCCACATGTCTTGTAAATTTTAAATTTTTTTGACTAGTGCCCTCCACGATCATCTAACATTATTACTTTGTTTCTAACTGGATGTAATATTTAATTAAAAATGAAAGTGTCCGAAATTTGAATCGTCCGAAATTTGAATCGGAACGGTAGTCAAATACATAGTAATATTGATATTTTTGTAATCGTAAATTGATATGCGACGCCATTTAGAAATCCAAGATGGTGGCTTCCGATTCCAGAGCAAGTGGGAAATATTGTCAAATACCCATCAATATGGGTATTTTTGGAATCGGGATGGAGTCTATAGGAAAGAAATTTATATCTGACGCCATTTTGAAACCCAAGATGGCGGCTTCCTGTTTCAGAAAAAGTGGGAAATGCTGATACCGTTCCATCATTATGGGTATTTTTAGAATCGGGGTGTCGTCTGGAGATTGGAAATCGATATCCGACGCCATTTTGAAATCCATGATGGCGGCCTCCGGTTTAAGAAAAAGTTGTAAATTCTATCAAATATCCATACATAGGGTTTTTTTTTTAAATCAGGGTAACGTCTAGAAGCCGGAAATCGATATCCGGCGCCATTTCGAAATCCTAGACGGTTATTTTCAGAATGGGGGTGAGATGTAGATGCTGAAAATTGATGTCACGTCGTCTTTAAATCCAAGATAGCGGCTTTGGTTCAGAGAAACTGTGAAATATTGTCAAATACCGATCAATGTGGGATTTTTTGAATCGGGGTGACATCTAGAAGCCAGAAATCGATGCCGACGCCATCTTGAAATTCAAAATGGTGGCTTCAGATTTCAGAAAAAGTGTCCAGTGGCCTACAAATGGCATCGAATACAGATTTTCAGCATCTACGTGTCGTTCCCGTTCCGAAAAATACCCAGATTTTAGGGTATTTGACATTTTTTGTCAAACCCGATGGCCGCCATATTGGATTCCAAAATGGCATCGGATATCGATTTTCGGCATCTACACGTTGTCCCCATTCCGAAAATACCCACATTGTAGGGTATTTGACACTTTTCTGAACCCTGATGGCTACCATATTGGATTCCAAAATGGTATCTGATACCGATTTTCGGCATCTACGCGTCGTCCCGTTTCGAGAATAACCATATTATAGGTTTTCTGAAACCCGATGGCCGCCATATTGGATTCCAACATAGCGTCGGATATCGATTTTCGGCACCTTTGCGTTGTCCCCGTTCCCAAAATACCCATATCAGGGTGTTTGACACGAAATGAAACTTGATGGCTACCATCTTGGATTCCAAAATGGCGTCGAATATCGATTTTCGGCATACACGCGTTGCCCCCGTTCTGAAAATACCCATATTTTAGGGTATTTGACACTTCCTGAATCCTGATGGTCGCCATATTGGATTCCAACATAGCGTCGGATATTGATTTTTGACATCTACGTGTTGTTCCCGTTCCGAAAATACCCATATCTTAGAGTATCTGACCGCAGTGAGTCTGTCCACCATCTGCGAGAACTGCTCGATGGACCACCTGGGCGGAGCATAACAGCTACTTAGATATACTCCATTGACCATGGCGATCACGAATCCTTCGCTCAAGTTGGACGAGACCACCTCCTGAACGGGGAAGCTCCCCATCGTGCATATCGCCGCCATCCCCAACGCGTCCGTGACCCAATTCCCGTTGCCGGATGGGACCCGGTACGGATGATTGCGACATCCACTCCCCATTCCGCTGCCGATTGCCACATCAGTTGCTGGGTGGCCGCGCAATGGTTCAGGTTCAACTGCGCTACCTCTAACATGGCTGAGCATTGCTCTTGGCCCCTGGGCAACACGGGCCACCTGCCATGTGGTTGGTAGGGGATTTCCCTTTCTCCGCACATATTGTGCACTTCGGCGGCTTTTGGCAACTTTGCGCCTTATGGCCCTTTGAACCACCCACACCGTCTGCACAGCTTGATTCTGTCGGTGTTCTTGCAGTCACGAGCCAGATGGCCCTGACCGAAGCACCTGAAGCAAGCCGTAACCGGTCGGGGAATGCTCACGGGGCAAACCGACCAGCCCACTCGTACCCCCCTGTGGCTGCCGCCTTTCTGGCATCAGCTGCCGGAAGCTTGACGGTAGCCACCTGGGTAGAGAACAGTCCTTTTCTCAGGGTAACCGCTGTTGGCGGTACCTCGATTTGGCACTGCTTCCTGAGCGCCTTGGCTAGTTCGGTCGCCTCTGTCACTTCATCCAAGTTCTCGCCCTGGATGGTGATCGTCGAGCCTAGCGATCTTACTTGCACCCCATTACCAACGACCTCGTTTGCCAGTTTCTGGTAAGTCGGTCCCTGGTCTTTAGCGCCACGCTTAAGCACCAGGAGCATCTCGCCAGTACGAGTGCGCCTGATGCTCCTCACGTTGTTGCCCATCTCCGCAAGACGCTCGTCCGGTCTCATCTTCCTCAAAACTTCCGCGTACTTCGACGCTTCCATCTTGATGATGAGAGCCTCGCCCATCGTCTTGTGTTTGTTCCGAGCAGTGCTGCTCTTAGGGGCAGTTTTTTTCCGGAGGTTTCGGGGGAGCGCCCTTGTTGCCATCCTGCTTGGAACCACCACTTTTCTCAATCGCTCTAGTACCAACAATCAATACGAAACTAACTATTTTAAATTGGCTCACTACTCTAGCTGTCCACCGGTCTCATCAGTCGGCCGCTTGGTGTCCTTATTCGAATCCTTGTTAGAGTTACTGGGTGGGGGAGATCTCGTAAGACCACCCTTCGCGATTGGATTCGCTGTCGCCTCCTTGGCGACTTGTTCTCTGGGTTGGGTTTGGGTTTTTGAACTGATTTGATGATTATCCATCATCCTGACTATTGGGTCCCTTTTAGACTGCTATACTAACCGTGCAACTGGAATAGTCGCTGTGACATAGGCCTTCATGGGGCGTTATGTTCAGAGCCGGATCGCGTAAGACGGGAATAACTCAACCGAACCTATTCCCACCGCAGTCTCAGAACTGAGTGGCACGGAGGGAATGTATT